CCTCACTGGTTCCTAAATGGCTGAAGAAAAAAAGCTATTTGGGAACCGATTGCCCGGTTTCACCGTAATTTATACGGACTGGGGGTGGGGCCCACACAGCTGGTGGGCGTGGACTAAAGTTTTCAGTGCTCTGCTGTGCGCGAAGGGGATAAACCCTCTAGTGATGGCCTTAAAGGGCTGCACTTATACTCATAGAATCTGGGGTTACAGTACGTAACCAACCATTTCTTTCATAATCACATTGTAGACTTGATGGTTAAATAAAGGTTAATGCTTAAAGCTAGTTGTGTTTTGTGTGTTTTAAATGTAGATATGTTACAGCTTCTGGTTGCATGTTTAGTTTTTGTTTGTTATGATCAGTTAACACTAAACTGATGTTGTACAAAGAGTTTATTAGGCTATGTAAAGTAAAGCAGAGCGCAACGTATGTAACATAAGCTTGCACGTCTGTATGCATAGCATGTCGCTAGGTTAGCGCTACTTCTTGTTGTGCCAAGCTCTCTAAAATAGTTATTGAATCAAGTGTTTACATATGGAGGCAAACTTAGATGTTTAACAACCTGTTAAAATACACCAGAATGCAGGAAATGGCATCTACTTTATTCAAAATTTTCCAGGGGAGGACCCTCAGACTGAAAATGGTTCTAAAATCATAATTTATTTTGATGATTTCAAGGCTTTGGAAACAGCTCCTTCTCTTCCATATATGGGGTGTGACAACACACCAGGGATCCGATCATACAAGGTCTGTTGCACAAGGTGGAAGGGAGATGTGAACATGGACAGCCTTACAGAGAAAACACCCCCATGCTCTTTTCGTTCCTATCTGTGACTACACACTCCTATCTGTAACTACACCCTCCTGTCTGTGACTACACACTCCTGCCTGTGAATACACACTCCTTTATGTGACTACGCACTCCTATCTGTGAGTACACACTCCTGTCTGTGACTACACACTCCTATCTGTGACTACACACTCCTGCCTGTGACTACACACTCCTGCCTGTGACTACACACTCCTGTCTGTGACTACACACTCCTGTCTGTGAGTACACACTCCTGTCTGTGAGTACACACTCCCGTCTGTGAGTACACACTCCTATCTGTGATTACACACTCCTGTCTGTGACTACACACTCCTATATGTGACTACACACTCCTGCCTGTGACTACACACTCCTATCTGTGATTACACACTCCTATATGTGACTACACACTCCTGCCTGTGACTACACACTCCTATCTGTGACTACACACTCCTATCTGTGACTACACACTCCTGTCTGTGACTACACACTCCTATATGTGACTACACACTCCTACCTGTGACTACACACTCCTATATGTGACTACACACTCCTGTCTGTGACTACACACTCCTATCTGTGACTACACACTCCTGTCTGTGACTACACACTCCTATCTGTGACTACACACTCCTGTCTGTGAGTACACACTCCTATCTGTGAGTACACACTCCTGTCTATGACTACACACTCCTATCTGTGACTACACACTCCTATCTGTGACTCCACACTCCTATCTGTGACTACACACTCCTATCTGTGACTACACACTC